AAAAGAACACTAGAAGAAACTAGGGAAAGAGTTGCAAATGGTTGCATTAAGCAGCTTTCATACTGTATGTCCCATATTTTCGACATAAAAACTGTAAAAGCAGCAGAGTTTTATCTACATTTGCCAGAGACAGCTGGAACTTTAAAGGGCCGTGTGATTTGTTCAGTGGTGCGACACTTTATCAGTCTGAGATTCCCACAAACCACAGGAAGAGGGGCATTAAGTTTTACAAATTTTCAACAAAATTTCTTCTCTTTTTTTCAGAAGAAAAGAGTGTTTTGAGACTTTCCTGGGTTCCTTTTTCCAGTCCCAGAAGTCTTCTTTAATCTGGCAGATGTTTCACTGCATAGATTTAATTGTAAATGTTGCAGGAAGCAAAACCGTTGCTCAAATGGTTTCCTGTAGTTAAATATACGTTCAGCACTGATTTGAGAAGTTGTTGCTTTAATGTTGACTGTCATTATGTTTCCAGTGTCCAGATGTGTGACTCCATGTATGACGCTGGCAGACACCTGCACACTGGGAAAACTGGTGAAGTGACGACAGATATGACGACAAACCAAAACTCAAACAAAACCTGTTTCCCACAGGCAAGCTTTGCAACCCCCAGAGGAGCAGGCAAAAAGAGACAGACACAGGACAAAACACTTAAATATTCATGAAACCTAAACAGTAGATGTTTAGGGAGAAGGACGTAGAGGGTAAAGCTGTCGTCATCACAGCCATTAATTAGGTGGAAAGGGACAAGACTTGTTAGGATAGATCTGTGTTGTAGTTAATTAGATGAGAGAAAAGTGGATCATCTCTGAGGAAAGCCCCAGAAATACATCTTTAGGGAGTGAAGAAGTGAAAACAGAAACTGCCAGAAAATAGAAACTGCTGACTATTAAAGCGTATTTGTCCTTAAAATAACACAGAAACTAGAATACTTGACTATGGTTAGTCTGTAAGCTCAAATAATACATTCACTGTACAGACAATGTGTTCTATTTGACTTTGCCTTTGGTGTGCTGATACGTGTGCAGATATTTTCCCAGTTTTCATATGGTCTAGCTAGTTTGAAATGGGTTGCAGGTAAAACACATAAAAGACAAAACTGAATGAATGAACTGAATCAAAACTTTAACTCAACACAGAGACCCAGGGCGACCCGATGGCCGAGTGGTTGGGTACATACCATGTAGCCACATATACAGGGGTGGAGCTAAGGGGTGGCCTGAATATAGTTTCTATTAGAAACCCCCATAGTGAAGCCCATTAGAGCAGCCGTCTCCAATCTTTTTTGCACCACGAACCGGTTTCAAACAAGACAATTTTCAACGGACGGGTCATCGCACACATAACAAACAATAATCGTTTTTTTCTATTGAAAAAAGTGTCGTAAACAAATAAAAGTACTTTTTATTGCTATATGTGTATTTACTTTTTCTCCTGTCTCGGCATCAAGTCTCTCCCTCTTTTCAAATAAGCTCTCCGGAGAAGTTTCTTTTTTCATTTATCTGGTCAGCAGTTAGATTGATGGCTTTGAAAACTGACAGAAAACAAGCACAGACGGGAAGATGAGCTAGTCATTTTTCAAAATAAAACACCCTGCAGACGCCGCTAAAAATAAAAAATTATTATTATTTCTGTACGGCCCGTTACCTACTGACCCACGGCCCGGTACTGGTCCGTGGCCCAGTGGTTGGGGACCGCTGCATTAGGGAACTACGTGGAGTTACATCCAGTTCCTGCTATTTTTCTAGAACTTTTTTGCAAAGTCATTTTTCTCCAGTCATTATCTTAAGAGCGTAGCATCCAACCGCACACAAGTAGCTCTGACCAACCAGTAAATGTCACTAGAAAGTGAGGAAAGCATCTCATGAACTTTATCAATAATAAAACAGCATAACTTCAGCAATGATTCCAGATTTTTAATCAACTAAGGGGTTACATAAAAAGAGCTTATGATGCTGAATATGAGCTTGTACATGGCAGTCTTCCCTTCATTCTCATAACAGTACAGGACCTAAACATTGACCACTCAGCCTACATATTAACTAGACATTGTCCCACCCCCAGTGTGAGTGGTGGTCTCAGTCTGGACATCCAAATATTAACTGTCTTGCACATTCCCAGGCAGCTACTCTCTCTCTCTCTTAGTTCCCCCTCTCTCTTCACTGTCACTGTTAAATAAAGGCTAAAAAAAGCCCCCAAATCAATCTTGTATATTAAAAAAAACACAGAGACACTAACCTCAAATGATAACACTTTCATACAGAACAAATTGTACCAGCTGGGGAGGAGCATAAGAACAAATGAAAGCTCTGAAAAATGGAAAGTAACTCAGCGCCTTCAGTAGTTATGTTAAAACTTTTTAATGCTGTAAGAACCTTCTTAGCTAGACCTCCTGAGGGATACTGTCTGGATACAATAGCTGCCAATATAGAGATTGTTTTTCCTTTTCAGCCCAGCAGGTGGCGCTGTGCTCCCTGCAGAATGAGACTAAAAGGAGGTCAGCTCTGAAGAGGAAGCTACTGTAGCTCGCTGCATGTTTCCTGATCGTCTCCTGGCTCTCGAACGCACCACAGAACATTTCCATATGACTCTTCTGTCTTTACCTCACTGCCTCTTATCAGTATTCCTCTGACTATCGCTGCAACTCTCCTGGGATTTGGTTTAGTCCATTTCCTTCATGCATTACCCGCTGCACAGAATTCCCTTTCGCTTCTTTGTTTTTTTTCTTACAGCATCTATCTTCTTCGCTCCTGCAGCCTTCGTGTCACGTGTCCGTCTTTTTTTCCTCATTGTCTTCGCCTGCATCCCCACAGCCTCCTCTTTTATTCTTTCTACAGATACACACATCACTCAAGCTTCACCTAGCTCAACCGGTCCTTCAGTATCATCACCATACATGTCATCTCCATGTCACCAGGATCATAAATCTCTCTCTTGATCCGCAGTAATAAAAGACGTATTTCCTCCCTCTAATTAGATTCTGAGGTTCATTCATCATTTCTGGCCAATCTAAATGTCTTTGATTCATATTTCACATAAATCTATACAGCACCTTTGATCTCTGCAAGTTCTTCAACAGAGGAAGCTCTAATTTACAGTATATTTCAACTGATGCGCGCGTTTGAAAGTTTACAGGGGTTCGAATATCAAATGATATCGCTGCACTTCAAACTCTGCTTAATACAGTACTTTTGGATATCCTGAGTTCATCTGCACTGTCTGGAGAATTAAATTGAATGTTTTATGAGAGTGATATGTTGTAAGATTTTTTGTTGGATTAAGTTGGCTGTGGTTGAGTCTAATGGTGTATTATTCTTAAAGTTATCCATTAGAGCGCACATTTCTTTAGTTCATTGGTTTCCAATTCTTAGTTTGGAAGAGCCTTTACTGAGAACAGCAAAGACAAGCCTTGCCACTCACCATAACAACATGCTATTTATGAACTATTCATGCATTTTAAGTGCACTATTTACGGACGCAATTAACATTTTATTAGAGATAGGAGTCATTGCATCACTCTGTTTGCTTTTGGTTACAAATGAGCATTGGGTATCCACAGATCTACAAAACTACCACTGAGAACACATTTTTATCTTGAAGCGATTCTGTATTTCTCTCCACTGACTGACAGCCTGGCAGTGTGAAGAAGACGTTGCATTTAGAAAATAATGGGGTGTTTGGATAGCAGAAGTGCAGTATTTTTTTTAAAAGTCCTTTCCACAACCCTCAGTTTGACCTGAGGGAGTGGCAGTGTTTATTTGATGCTTGATGATCTTTGTTGCAAGTGTAGCGTTCTACTTAAAATTTGATGACACATTAAATCTTCTGTGTTAGAAAATCAATAGTTTCCCCGTTTCTGTCTTATACTTCAGCGACGTTGAAGATAAGGCAGGATTCCATTTTTTTTAGACGGAGCAGATGAGCAATAAACATCCGGCTCTGCTTACGTTGTGAAAATCAGAGCGTACTGGACACTTCATTGTCTATGTGAGGAGGTGATGTTGACAGCACGAGATCCAATCCTGATATCAATCTTTCATTAAATTGGAATCAGTTGTCTGAAAAATTCATGCTTCTCCGACAAGTCTGGACATGTTGTTTTTTTTAATTAAATCGATTCCTTATATAGATCCGAGTGTGAGAGTGTGCAAAAAGGCACGTTACGCCTCATGCATATGGAATCAGGAGCACGGTGAAATACTGGTGTTTCTTTTTTTTAAGATGTGATTTCATGGAGTAACTTTATGTTTTGGAGATTTCCTTTGTTTTGGAGGCAGAACCCGTTATTTCTGCATGGTTGCAGCGCAGGTACAGATTGCAGGTGCACCAGTTGCTCGATGCTTGCAGTAAATCTCTGCTGCCTTTTATGGTGAGTCAGTTTCGTTATGCATCGTTGTACTCGGCGCAGCTGTTTATAACGTATGACACGCAATGTGATAAGCTGAGAAGAAAATAATTCATCACACTCCCCCCCTCTTGTTTATACTCCACATCACCTGGCCCATGTGGAAATGAATATAGCCAACCTGGACGTGGCAGTATACGACTGTTAATGTGTTTAGATATGCCCTAATTGTCTTTATGATGCAGTGATTGCATAGGTCATCGCGTGGGTAAACAGGAAAAACACATTTAGAACTTGTTTTTCCCCAAATTTGATCATCTACTAGAATAGAGCACACGATCTGAATATGTGCGAAAGGTGCAGATAAAAAGATAAATCTGTAGAAGAGACAAGAGATGACTTTGCAGAGCTCAGGCAGGTATGAATGTCTGCTGTTGTTTTCCCCAGAGAGAACTTGTCTGTTGTCTTATGCTTCCACTCGACACCTGACAATACACACAATTATATTATCTAGGCTGAATAGGTTGACCTGCGCACAAAGCAGTCATGAGTTAAGAATCAGATAAGTGTTATTCCTCTGTGCCGGAGACCTCTACTGTTGCATAGCTGTTTGAAGACACCGCACAAGCAACACAGTGTATTTACAGTATGTACATACAGTATCTGGAGGGCGGAGATCTTGTCTTTGAGCACTTCCTGGGCTTTGTTGAAGTCTGACAGCATGTTCTGCGTCTCTCTGCTGTGGACGGCGCTCAGCTCGGCAAGCTCCCGCTCGTGCCTCTTCGTTAATTCCTGCTCGTGAGCCCTGAGGAGAGAGAACAACGGGCGGATGAGTGTCTGAGAAAAGATTATAGCTTCTGATTAGTTTTATACCACGGCCCTGGAAATTAGTGATTGGGTGGCAGGCGACTGTTCAAACCACTTAACATGAGTGACCTGATAGGCAAGTGGTTTGGGTGCACACCACATGGGTGCAAGATCTTTCAAGCAGCAAATCCCTGGTTTGATTCCTTTAACTGCATGTCATTCTGCTGCTCTTCAATATTTCCTGTCACTATTTAAAAGACAAATACGCCCCCAAAACAAAAATAAACCTGCAGCCTTTCCTGCCTAAGCAAGACATCAAAAGACTTATTCTCACTTTTGTGTCTAGATAAAAACTGTCTAGACTTGACTATTGTCCACTCTGTTTTCTGACCTTCCAAAGAAATCGTTAAAGGTCCCATATGGCGAAAATCCATTTTTATTATTTTCTGTGGTTGTTATAAACTTGGCGGTGTAAAATAAAAGCTGTTATGATATGAACACATTTATTCCTGCCATTCCTCGAGCCTCTCTGCAACTAGATAGCCTCCCAGCTTTGCAAATTAGCTAGAATTCAATTCAGGTTCTCCGTAACACCCAACTAACCAATAGTCGTCCAGCTCAGACTCTCTATGATGCTGCCCCATCCCTGCTTCTAGGTGAGCCTTTCACAATGAGCAGCTATCTTAGAGTCCATCAGGTTTATATCATTTCTAGAGCTGCCACTACTAACTCTAAAATGTCTCAGGCACAACCTTTAAATGTTCTACTGTTGGCTACAAGAGTGAACACAAGCGTCTTCATGCACTCCGAGGTTCTGAGGAACTGAAGACCCAGTGGATTACTTTTACTTTTGATGGCAAGGCCCCAAGGAAATGTGGCTGATGTTATTATTTGCTTTGATTGTAAGCCCACAGTCTAAGTTAAACTCAGCAGGGGTTTACATCCATTGGCTTCTCTCCTGCTCTCTGTGCTCACACATGCTGCATGTTAATATAGCTGAATTCCTAAAAACACTTGTTCTGTTTCTGTTGTCAGACAACAGAATGAGTATGAAATAGAGACTGAAATACAGCCCATCAACACTACATGCTAACTAACAGAGCCATTTCTAATATACTCCACTGCACCTCTGAAACACTGATTTTATAACCTACAACACATGAGTTAAAAACATTGGCTGTGCTGTAAATGTAGAGACACTTCAGTGTCAAATGTTGGCTGAAGATAGCAGCGATAGAAAGTCCTGGTCTCATGCACTCATTCTGGTGTCCCATGCTTCTGTATTTTAAGATTTTTCTTTTAGTTTTTAAATATTATAATGAAATAGCTTCTGGTGATTTATCAGATTTGTTGGTCAGGAGAGCCTCATGCCCAAGATCCGCTAATGCTTGTCTCTACAGTGTTCCCTGGAGTGGAACTAAGATGTATGGAGATGCTGCATCATTCTGAATCATCAGATTCAGTCAACAGCTTCAAACCAAACCTCAAAACGTATCTTTTAAGGCTTGCATTTAGGTCATTTTCTTGTAGTATCATGTAGTACACAGGCATCAGACCACCAAAGTTAATAACTAGTTTAATTAAGGACTTGAGTCACAGTGAGTTTTCAATTAACTGAAAGTTTGGTGGTTCGATCTCTGGCCCTCCAATGTGCTGAAGCGTCATTGGGCAAGACACTGAACTGAATGGGCGAATGAGAAACACGTTGTAAAGCGCTGTGTAGAGCCTAGCTAAGGCTAAAAGGGGCTATATAAGTGCAGAGCATTTCATTGTCTTATGTTTTATCACTAGTATTTTTATTTTTTTGATTTTATTTTATTCCCTGGGCGGCACCGTGCTGCAGTAGTGAGCACTGTTGCAGTGCTAACCACTGTACCACCATCACTCAACATGATAGACTCCAACATGACTCTACAAATAATCTATGCTTTTTTAGGTGGGCATAGCAAGAAAATAATGCAAGACACTCAGAGTCATGCATTAGATATTGGGTGCACTTCAAATTATAAGCTGAAATTGCTTAAGCACTCATTAAGAACCAGAATAGCACTATCAGTGTTGCATTATTAAGTTTTAGAACCGGATTAAATATAGCTTAAGATTTTAAAATCAAATCAAGTTGCACCTACTGTTAGTGCACACACAGTTCAGTATATTCATTTACTGCATACGGTGGCATCATATTTTAAATGCTCCTTTACAGGTTTTAAGAAATGGATTTTCTGCAAATGATAGCTGTCAAATGATGACAACGACAAAGACCAACAAACAGAACAAACAGACAAATTGCTTTACATGAAAGTTTGATCTCATGTTTGGAGTCACGTCACACCACACCACGTCAGAGCGTCACATGTCGTAGGGAGAGAATCTGTTTCATGAGGCTGTTTGATTGGACACCATCGTCATGGGAATAAAAGCTCCGGGTTAGAGTGACGCATGCTTGCGACTCAAGAATATCACGGAATTCATTTTATTGTGCTTTGAGACTTAATCAGGACCTGCAGACTCTCGTTTCGCCAGCGTATTGGATTGCTCCACAGTGGACATGTTGGGAAGATTAGAAGAGAGAGAGAGCGATGCGTTGAATGAATTCCAAGAACATAATTGCAAGACAACACACAATGAATGTAATTGTCAGAAAAATATGACTCATAGAATTATATATAACAACATAAAGAAACAATTTGAAAACGCACCAAACCATAAACGTGGTGTGACGTAGGAGACACGTCTGTGTACTGGATGTACACATAATGTAATACATATGCATGGAAACTGTGAAATGAATTATTCATCTTATCAAATACCCCCAATTTGCAAATGTCGAAGGTTTTTTGCAATGGTGGGAGAAGAACTAGAAGGGTACAAGGGGTGGTGGAAAATGGAAAGAAAAGATGCTAATAATGAAATGAAGAAATGAAAGAGGCCGATGAAAGTGAAGAGAGGCAGAGAAGGATGATGGAAGGGAAACATGGATGTCTGTCTGCCTCTCATTCTGACTGGGCCAACTCTCCCCGAGGGGTGCACATCTTATCTCTCTCTGCTTCCTCTTTATTTATTTAACAGACTATTTTTATCCCTGTGACCAGGATTCAGACGGGGAGTTACGTAACAGACGAAGAAATGTGCTGCGCATGGGCCTGCCAGCAGAAAGAGAGGCCGCGGAAACACAAAGACACACAAATTAACGGCAAATAATAAAGCAACATGGGAGCAGCCGTCAAACTACACACACACACACACACGCGCAAAGGAAAACCTTCAAACACTTGCGCACATAAAACAGAGCATGATTGATTCTAATGAGTAGCTGGACCACATTAGCCATACAGCACTTTAAAAAATTCATAACATGCCGCAGGGAACAACATGATTATAGATTCCATTTTGCTTTTACCCTAAGTAACCTTCACATCTCCTAATCAATGGGCTCCTGACACTCTGGTCGAGAGACTGAGGCGGTGTGTGTGTGTGTGTGTGAGAGAGGGAGAGAGACTGATTTGCCTTGTTCGGGCTTTTCTTTCCCCTCTTTCATCTCGGTGTATTTTCATCAGGACTCGAGCAGAGCGGGATTGCAGAAACTATCATCATCCGAATGTTATCAGCGAAGTCAAAGTCAGCAACATGTGCTGATGACAGGCCCACTGCGGGCGTTTGTGTGTGTGTTCTGGGGAAGGAGAGTAGATGTCAGAGCGATCAGAAAATGTCACAGAAAATGTGTTGCTAATGTTTTTAAAGGAGTAGTGTGACATTTTGGGAGATGTGGCTATTTGCTTTAAATGCCATGTTTGACGTCATCTTGCTTGTCGGCTTTTGGGCCGATTAAACAAATGAGAGGCAGCGTGTTAATTATAACGAGGTTTGCAGGTGCAGGCAGGTGCTTTGTGTTATCTTCGGACAACTTTCTCCCCGTTTCCAGTCTTTTCCCAACCAAATCTACAACTAATCTTTTAATGTTGCTACGCTGTGCTGTTTACCGCCATGATCTAAAAGAATAATTCAGCATTATGGGAAATACACTTATTCACTGTTGTACTGAGGCTGACTTGAAAAGAACCTTCTCAGATTAGTTTAACTTTCCATAAAGACTGCAAGCAGGGAGAAGCAACTCACTTCAAAGTTTAAAAATGTATTTTTCAGCTACAGCGCAGCGAAAACTTGCCAGTTGAGATGGTGCATTGCTTCGGTTTAATCCCTACAAAAACAATGATATGGAAATGACAACCCACGCTATAGCTGGACGTGAATAAGTTGTTGTTTACTCAGTCCTAAAACCCTCACTGTCATTTTTGAACATAAAAGTGTGAAGGCCCCACCGAGTATGTTGGTTGGGCTCATTGGCTGTTTTGCTCTGTTTCCTCAGGTCCCTAAACTGCTTGTGGCCCTTGGGCCCAGCGCTCCCAGGTTACAAAAGGACCAACCCCTCAGCTCTCTGGTCATGCTTGTGATTTACGGCTGTCATTGTGGTTTGTGTCTGTACATCAGACAACACCCCGCACCACATCACATCCAGGCATCTGCACCTACCGATATCACTGACTTACACATCTCATTTTGATAATATTAATTTAGCAGTTAATAAAAGATAACCCTTTCTTCTGGCAATACCTGTGTCGTCTCCCCTCTTCTGTTGTAACCTATTTGCCAGGTTGTGACACAAGGGGTTAATTAAGCCCTTTTAAGACATGGGATGTGTAACATTGATGCTTCATTGGTATGTTAAAGTGATGGCATTCTGTCATTCAGATTATGTCACAAATATCTAACAGCGGTGATGGAGCTCAGGACTCTGAGGAAGGCTGCTGTCTTACAAATTATTGAACTTCAGCATAAAAACTATGACTCTGTCACAGCTCAACTGTCTGAGGTGGACACAAGTACACAATGTGATCCTGACTGATCCCGTCTAGGGGTCGGGGGTGATTTACAATTATAAGTAATAATAAAGTTATTGTTGTTCCATGTGCATAAATACACACAACTCTCTCACTTTGGAGACGCTCATATGGATCCTGCTGCTGTTTATTACTGCAGGTTTTCAATAAACTCAGAGGAAAGACTCCTACAAACAGCTGGAAGCAACAAACTAAACCTCAGTCCTTGCTAACGGTTTGTCAAAACCTGGATTACATTTGTTATCAGCATATCTCAATAATGTGACCTATTGAAAGTTAACAGATATGCCATAGATCCAACCTAAAAGGATTGCTGCTGTAACTTTTACATCAAAGTGATCAGGTTCAGACGTGAAGCCGACTCATTTTAATGCTGTCAGATTAACGGAAAGGTTAACTTAAATTAACTTAAAGGTAAACAGGAAACAAACGCATGGTTACTAGCTAGTTAGCAAAATGCTGGGAACTAGTTTCTTCCTCTTATTTCTCTCCAGTCTCTTAACTTTTTCTCGTCTTTCTGTTGTGAAACAGATTCAAAAACAAGATTACATTTTGAAATCTTGCTGTGAACTTGTAAAATTGTGCTGAATCACATCTTTCCATTGACTTTGAAGCCTAAGCTGTCACTAAACCTCTGATATTTGCACAGTTACAGACGTTGGTGAGCAGATTATTGAAGTTCACACACCACACAGTAAAGCCGGCTGTTTCCCTCTGCTTCCAGTCTTTATGCTAAGCTAAGCTGACCTCCTCCCAACTCGATAGTGGTACCAATCTTCTTGTCTAACTCCCAAGAAAATAAGCAAATATGAACCTCTAGTAAAAACATTTCTTTAACCTCTAAACACTAACTGGTTCAAATAGGGGCAAAAGTAAAAAATCTGCCTCGTGAAGATTTCCAAATCTGCAGCAACAACAGAAGCAGCAGCAGTAGTTTCTGACTCTAACATGGTAATGTGCACAACAATCAGTGGCTTCTTACATTTTCTATCATCTAAAGGGACATTTACTGAGTGTAACGCACAAAAAAGCTGCCACATCCTTAGTCTTATTTGGCATGAAAGAGGGTGAATGTTCAGCGGGAAGCAGAACTACATTTCTCATTCTCAAAATCTAAATATAAAATCAGATCAACACAAAACATACAAAGACATCGTACAGACCGAAGTGTTTGTCTGGTAACTAAAACCTAACACCAGCACAGTATTACTGCCTCCTGTCAAAAATGAATACAAAAAAAATCCGGCACTCAGCAACCAGCACTCTGAATTCATGAGAAAAATATTCAGTAGTTTGGTTGCCAGGTTACAGTAAAGATAAATGTGACTGTTGTTTGCTTCTCCGTTTTTTTTGGCTTTGGATGTGCATGTGTGTGTGCAGGAGTGTGCAAAGTCCAATTGTGTAACCATTAATATTTCAGAAAGCGACTGAAGCGAGATCTGACTGCGAAGAGAGAGAAGCTCTCAGTAAAGATCTTGTATCAGATAAAAAGGAGAGCAATTTGCTAGCTTCTGACTTTTAAGGGGCTCTAAAAAGGTTACCAAGTCTCTCTAATACACACAGCGGTACCCGAACGCACCAAACTGCTAAACGTATTCAAATCCACATGTGCTTTTGTCTACAGTAACTCCATTGTGACAGAAATAAACCCAACAGTCTGGTTATTCTATTTTAAATGTGGGACAGGCTTGACACGGGCTTTGATGGGAAGGAGGAGACTAATTTGCAGTATAAATGTCAAAAGAGAAACAGGTTTTCTTGCCTGTGAACTAAAGTTTGAACCACGGTTTTCACTTCGCTGGTGTATTTTTTTTTCTGAGTGCTGAGTCATACCGAATCTGCTGATTGGCTTCACTGCGGATCTTGAGCACCTCCTTGCCCTTCAGCTCCAGCTCCTTAGTCAGAGTGCTGATATTCTCGTTGAGCGTGTGGATCTGGTGGTCCAGCTGAGCGATGTGGTTCTTCCTCCTGGACACCTCCTCCTGCAGCTCAGAGATCCGACCCAGCAGTTCACGCTCCTATGGAAGGAGAAGGGAGGGGGGTAAAGAAAAGACAGAAAAGAAAGCATTATTCATTCTGGAGGTTCAAAGAGTTGAGATCCCACAGTGTTGGTTGTCAGGTTTTTAATTATGTCCAACTTCAAGCGAAAACTTCTGTGAGATTTTAAAATATCCATTAACTTTTCTCCGTTTTCATCGTTTGACGGTACAGTTTCAGAGGTCACTCACGGCTTTGGCTGTATCTACAAATGGGTGCCTGATATAGTAGATTCATCACTGACTTGTGAGAGCTGACATAGCTGGCATCAGATGGTGTTGTGTTGAGGCTGCCCTGTATTTCACACTTTGAGCAGAAAATAGCATTCAGAGCACTGTAAACTTGATTCATATTGCACATTATTTCAGAAACCAAACATTATAACTCACAGTATTTCAGTGCTTTGGCAGTTTTTCTGATTTCACAACCCTTCACACGTTTCACCGACGTAAATTACCACGAGGGTGCAACTATGAGATGAGACAATGAATACTGGATACAGCTGAATGAACTAAAATGGTTTCTCTGTGGTCATAGGACACACAAAGTGCAGTAGTTACTGGTGATGTAGTCTCACAGAGTCAGACTATTCTCCACAGCGCTGGAGGATGGTTTAGCTGTGACCATTATCATCATGTTAAAGGGCAAATAATGCTCTAGCTTGTTCGTTTTTCTATAAAACCCCTAGTTTGAAAATTAATGAGCACATTTGCATTATGAATAACATTGCTGTGATGTAAATATTTAAAATTAAAACCTTAGAAAATATAAATTTGCAACAATCATCTTATTTCTCTCATACGAACAATTTGGTTGCAGCATTTAAGCACCCATGACAACAACACATTATATAACAGCACTTTTTAGATGGCAAAGCAACAAATATGTATAAATAATACACTAAATAAAACCCCCAGATGTCTATGTGATGGAAAAATAACTCTAACCTCTCAATTCAAGAGTGTGTATTCTATGATCTCCTGTTTCTTGTGCTTCATATTTAACAGAATTAAAACCTTGATAACATGTAAAGAAAACCATTCCTTAAAAAACAGGATTCATTTAACTCACAAAGACAACAAAAAACTAGATCTGAGTCTACAACAGAACTGCACAAGAATCTGTATCAGTCACTGGGCTCATAAATTATGACATCCCTCTGAAGCGCTGAATGACTTCATGTTAACATGACCAACGACTCGCGTTACTCATGAGCACCTGCAGAGCTGCTCCTTTCTTCTGAGCTCAACAGCGACACAAGAAGTAGCTTGTTTCTGTCCTGATTTCAAAGTGAGAAAATGAACAAGTGATTTTCTCAGCTGGGGGGAGAGAACGCTGCGTAGGTTTAACCAGACACTTACGACAGCCTGCCTTTACACTGAGTGCATTACTGGAGGTGACTCACCATCGATTTTACATAGAGGTTCAGTGTATTTGTCACAAAGAGCCGTTAAAACATACATGATATTGTCAGTAGTTTGGAAGATAGTTCTCCAAACTAAATGTAACCATTTGTCATTTTTAAGGGTCACCTCAGACTTATAAAGACTTTGTATTTACAATCAAACTCCTGCTTGTAAGAGTAACTGTAAATGTAGGTACTTTAACAACCTTTAAAGCGTTTATCTTGGTCATTATTAGGGCTAGCCACATGTACTAAATCCAGATCTTACGTCATTTGATTTGATAATACTTTCAGGTTTTAGTAGCCTTTATCGATATAAAAATATAGATAGTTTCTATAATTAAACTGGGGCTGCAAGGTGGCACAGCTGGCCTCGCAGCAAGAAGGTCGCCAGTTCACGTCCTGGTGGGGGCACCGGGATCTTTCTGCATGTTCTCCCCGTGCAGAGTGGGTTCTCTCCAGGTTCTCTGGCTTCCTCCCACAAGGTCCAAAAACATGTTGAGGTTAATTGGTGATTCTAAATTGTCCGTAGGTGTGAATGTGAGTGTGCTTGGTTGTCTGTCTCTAAGTGTGGCCCTGTGATAGACTGGTGACCTGTCCAGGGTGTCCCCTGCCTTCACCCTGAGTCAGCTGGGATAGACTCCAGCCCCCCCATGACCCTAGTGAGGATTAAGCGGTGTATAGATAATGGATGGATGGATGGACAGTATATGCAATGGTTCCACTCATGCCAGTTCCTGAGTAATTCAAAATGAGTAATGGGTGTGCAGATGGACGCACAGCAGTATGCAGCTTTTCACTATGATTTAATTAGATGTAAATCCAACATGATTTTTTTCACACAAACACCACGGCGCACAGACAAGTAGCTAGCATCGTTGGAAATGTTAAGTTGTGCAGTTTTAGTTGAGGCACGCTACACCTCGCTGCAAAAACTACGACTGAGGGCTATTCAGCTGAGAAGAACGGATGTGGATTTGGATATAAAGTGAGTCTGTGAGGCTTTCAGGGTTAAAAGAAGATGGTGTTAAATGAAAGACTCCATAGCTGCATGACGACAAATATAGGGGTTGAGCATTTTGGGGGCTTTACAGATAATGAAGACTAAATTATTCATTCAATATTTTGGCCTCTGCTGCTTTAATATTAACCATTGCTTTGTTAATATGTCTTTTATGAGCCTCCAGTTTTATGAAAGTGCTGCACTTCTCCTGGTCCATGAAGAAAAAGAGAATCTTTTTCGAATGACTGCACATTGTTTTACTGAAAAGGAAATGCAAAAAACAAGAACAAATATTCACTTTATTAAAAGTCTGTTCACTTGTTGAATACCTAAGGATCAAAATATTTGTGTCAGTGCACTGGATTCTTCTACTGAAATGCTAATGAGTAAGAACTTGGACGGTGAATCGACATTTTGTGACTAAAATAATTTTACACGATTTCTAGATTTTTAAACCGAGGACACAGTTGTATCTTTTTTTCTTTTATTTTTTTTTTTACTGATTGGCAAATCTCGCTGCCATTTGAACCTACAAGCCATTAACATGCAAAACCGCTAAGTTCACGATGTGAGGCGAAGCAGGCCTCGTGTGCCAAACCGATCATTACGATTAAAGACTTGAATGAAGAGGCAAGATGTGATCTGAAGACTCCCGCTTGAGTGCCACTTAACTCCATCAGAATTAGATTAAATAGTGTCAAGCTATTGTCCACTAATGATTCCTCTCTCTGCAAAAATCTCATTTAACTTGCTTCTCTAACAATTTGTGCCAAGGGCTGTGTTCATATATCCAAAAGCCATAATCTTGTGTAATAGCCTCATATTCACAAACCTCTCTGTCTGAGGCTCCCTCAGCATCTCAACTTAGTGTAATTGGCGGATTTTTGATGTCCATAAACCTGGCGGTGCAATTAAGCACAATGGAGACGGGGCAGATGAATCTTTAATGACTAATTTACTCATTTTACTCTTCGTCTCATCAAACTCCTGGCTGCTGTCTGGGAGGAGAGCAGGGACGAAAACAAGAAGAAGAAGAAACTGGCAGAATGAAAGAAAGTAACAAGAAAGGAGTACGTTTTTGCATGATTTGGGGCATTTTAATTCTAATTTACTTTTTCAATTACGGCAGACATCGCCATTTGATTTTCGAGGCGGACGGAGATAAAACTGCCGGTGTTGACTGGTTTAGGACACAGAGATTTATTTGTTTTCTCATCTCGTCTGTGCTGCCTTGTCATCACTTTTTTTTTTTTTTTTGTCTCCTGGTCTATTCTCTCCTTGGTAACCTCATTCCATCCTCCCTTCAAGAGTAAACAGCAGTGTAATAGAGGATATGTGGACCTTTTTTTCTTTTGTCAGTAACTCTGTACTCTCATTTTAAACTATTTGAAAAACAAATAAGGCACTCAAATATTTATCCAGCGAGGACATTAGCTAGCTGAATCTCTAGAGTGAAGTGAGACGAGATTTCCTGATCCACTTTGTTTTAAAGGTCCCATATGGTGAAAATCCATTTTTTATTGTGTTTTGTGGTTGTTATGAACTTGCAGGTATAAAATAAAAGCTGTTACGATATGAAGACGTTTACTTCTGCCGTTCCTCAAGCACCCCAAAACAATTAGTTCATTGGTTTTCAGATCAAAACAGTTTTACAGTCACGGTGAAACGAAGCCTCTTTGAGTAGAAAAACTGAAACACTCACTGCAGGGACATTTAGTGAAACTCAATGTGAGGTCAATTTGCTGAAAGTTTAAAATTATTAGCAGGGATATTAGCAGGTCAGTGTGATCCATATAAAACGCCATTAACCAGAGACACGATTATGCAGTGAAGCCAAATGTTTTTTTTCATTGCCAGGCCAGGTTTTGATTTATAGGGATTTTTCATTTGACCAATAGGTTTCTTCTGGCTGGAAATGAGCAGCAATAAACACATGACAAAGAAACAGTGAGACATTGTGCTAGAGATGTTAAAGACTTTTGTATTTGCACTTTTACTAAAAATGCCATGTCCAAAATTATTCATATTCTCTGTAATCAGTGGCAAAGCCTTTGTTTGGCACCACAGCAATCACACAGTTCTTATAGCAGCTAACAAACTGCCTGATGTCTTCCTTCAGAGTCCTAATGTTGTTCTCTTGTCTCATGGTGCCGTTTACTTTGACAAGGTTGTCAGACTGGAATGTTTGACTGTCAGGTTGGTGTTCTTGGGATTTTTATGCTTCTTTGTTCCAACACGACTCCATTCATCTCATCCAACCACAGAGGTTTTCTTTGTCCAGCTGAGCTCATGTAAAGGCTCGGTGTGCTTTTGTGTGTCTGTCTTGGTGAGGTACAGTCGTCCTTGGTTGGTCTCCATGGAGACCAGCCTTGTTCAGTGTCTGTTGGAGTGTCTTCTTGAGATGTTGGAACCAGGATAGCTCAGACTGATCATCACAGTGTCGGTGCTGATCCCTGGATTCTTCCTGACTTCTCACACCATCATTCTTGCATGGCTTTTGGCTTCCTACTACGACCTTTGAGATTTTCTTTACAGTGTGAAACTCCTACTTGTTAAATATACTTTACACTGTG